CCGATATAGTGTTGCGATACAAGTATCGACGAAAGTGCCCGTGAGCCACAGGAGATCCGTTTCCTCCATCGATCTCTCGCTAGATGGGGAGACGACGACCGTCCATGCCTGTTTCTAACAATGAATCCGCTCCGGCTCTCTCGAAGCAAACAAGATGCCTCTCCATCTACAGAGCCTTCATCTCTAACGCACCTATTCGTCTTCCCCCTCTGTATTCTCTTGCACTGTCGCCGAGCCATGTCTTCAATTTTATAGGAAAAGCCCAGTCTTTGTTAGATCCCCATAGAATCCTCCCGTGGTATTCTCGAGTTTCCCCCATTTATCACCATTCCAGGGATTTCATTCTGGATCCTTGATAATCTGATAAACATGTCCATGTTCGGGGGGGGGGGGGGGCGGTATCACCGTTTTTGAGTTTGTTCAGCGAGAATTCTCTGAACGATGCGCCATCTACCACAGTGCAGGGAGGGAAGGACAGCACAGCGGATTCGGAAGAGACGTAGCCGGGTTGAAGCGTCGATTTGCGAACGGGGGACTCACACGGAGTGATTCACGGCGTAACCAAGAGCCAGTGTTTGATGGAGAACTGATTCATGAGCAGATCCGCGGTTGGAGACCGGTCGGACCTGACGCCGACGCAAACTCTCTCCCATGAGATGTACTCCATTCTCATGCCGGCACCGGGCGAGTCCCGCTCTGATTGTCTCATCGAATTCATGACTCTTGTCCGAGGGGGTCCGCTTACGAATCAGCACAGCGTGCTCTTCTGGAGACTTCACAAGAAATTCATCAACGTGCTCGGCGGCATCATAATGGTCGCAAGCGGAAGTCCGTCACGATCGGGTTCGATTGCGACAGCGCTGAAGATATACATCCGATTTTGACCTTCAATCGCTGGAGAACCTTCAATATGGAGAGTTTAGGGGCGATATACGTATGAATGGACATCTAAATGAACTCTACTCTCGACAGAAAGGCAACGATATCGTGAAGCTTCGAATGTCGCGAAGAGATCCGAGCTCGGGAATAAGACCTTCGAAGACAATTTCACATCGCCTTGAGTGCTTTCTTTTCCGGTGAGGCCGAGATCGTCGAGCTTTCCGGCTATGACCGGAGGACTCAATATCACCGCCGAGCGAAGAAGTCCGTGAGATAAGTGGGACCCTGACGAAGCCTCGGCGCGGAGCCGGAGTAGAGCTCCGGGGGCGAGGAGGTTGAGCTCATGTCTTGGAAATCCCGAAGCTCGATTAGCCCTCGAATCCCTCTCCCGGTTTTCGATTGAGCTTTATTGCACCATAAAAGCTTTGAGTCTAGTGATCCCTCGTGTTGTCACGTGAGAGTCACCCCTTTTCTTTGTGAGTTACACTTCGGAGTTTAACGGAGTCATTTCCGAGATGACGAGTGCAACGGCTCGACTGGGTGTTGGCGATGCTATGTCCGAGTTGCGACGAAAAATAGCGGACAAGAGGAACGAAATCGTATGTGACACGGACGAAGCCTTTCTGTTGAAGTTCTTAGACCGAAAAGAATTCGACGTCGACTCGGCGCTTGCATCTATAGTGAAGTACTACAACTTGCGTAAGGAGTTCCCCGAGAAGATTTGGCCTCGAGGTAAGGGCGTGAAATGGATGGAGCCTTTCGTGGCCCTAGAGAATTGCACCATCCTTCCGATGAAGAACCCGAAGGACAACACAAGAATCTTCATGTGGCGGAAGGGCCACTGGAATCCTGAGGAAAAGATCTTCGACCTGGCAGACTGTCTCACATGGAGTCTCTACATGACGGAATACTTCCTGTACATGCGTCGCAACGACGAAGAAGACTGCGCTGGGTGGACATACATCATGGACTTGTCAGGATTCACGGCGCGTCACATACCTCATTGTGACCTGCAGGTCGTGCGAGCTTACTCCGGAATCCTGGCAGGAGCTCTCCCGCTGAGAGTCAAAGCCATACATTTCTTGAACGTGCCGCTCGTCTTCCAGTACGCGCTTCAACTAATCAAATTCCTCTTGGGAACGAAGCTGCGGAATCGCGTTTTCGTGCACAGCTCCCGGGAAAAACTTACGTCTGAAGTTGATCCCAGTGTTTTACCGGAAGGCTATGGTGACTCCGGAATGAAGTTCAGCTCTAGGTGGATATACGAGGAGATGCTACAACTCGAGGATCAATTCGAGGAGAGGAGCTATCACGGCTTTACGAAGTGAAGTCTTCGAAGCAGACGTGCGCCACATAAATTTGGTGAGCTGTGGACTCCGCCTAATTGGGCCGAGCCACCTCGGTCCAAATGAGTGGTTGGCCCGACAAACGGAGTGGTTTTGACTAGGAAACTTCATGCGGGGATCCGGATTCTGGTCCAATTAGGCGGAGGGTCCGATTATCCGCTGGTCCCAATAAGTCAGTTCACTGGAGTCGAGCCGTACGAGGCTCGTACGCAATCTTATCTCTACCCTATTTATGAAATCTGCCCCCATACCCCGAGAGTCCTCGAGTAGATGCTCTTGCCGCGGCTGCGCAACATGCGGCGATTCAAGAATTCAATAAAAGCCATTCTGTCAACTGACCAAGTGCTGTTGTGCATTCTGTGAGCTTCGGGATCGAACAGCGTTGGGAAGCTCGTAAGCCCGGTATTCACGCATCGGGCGGTGCCGGAGCCCAGGGCTTTCCGGAGCGAAATGGCGTCGAGGCGCAGAGCCTTCATCGGGTATAATGAGAAGAAAGCTGGGAGGGGAAGAATCGGTCGTTGGCGAACACCGGAAACACATATTCTAATGAGCTTTCGACATTGAGATCCGAGTCGGAAGACGTTGACGGGGTTGCTCGCGGATAGCAAATATTGGCCCTTGCGCTCGCCTCTCCGGAGATCTCACGAGCCTCCGTCTCGGCCGCTGACAGCACTTCATTACGACCCGAGACCTAACTCGAGAGTCACAACCCCCGCTCATTCGGGGTTTGTGTGTTCGCAGCGAAACTCTCGGGTTGCGTCTGCCGATCGCCGCGCACCGCTCATTGTGAAATCGGGATGGTGCACAGAGCATCCTCTCGGAAGCGGCATCACGTGTGTATACGATTCTCCATTCATAAAGCTCAGCTCTCGCCAAGAACATATTCGCTCATCCAACGTGACGAGACGCCGAGATGTAAGAGTGGGAGCCGGCATCGCCGAGAGGGGGGACACTTTTCAAGACCCTCGAAATTGTTCAAGGCTCGAGGACGCGGTCCGGGAATCGACGGCGGCTTCCGGCCGTGCCTTCATTGCAGTGAGACTTCGCATAGGTAGAATGACGCCGAATAAGCAAATCTCGCAGCGGCACATCGAGTCAGGTGCTTGGAGCAATTCTATAGCCGGGGAACGGAGTTGGGCGTCAGCAGTCTCAGACGCCAAATCCTTCGAGGCCCGAACCCGAGCTTTGCCCGAACGCCGGCGCCGGTAAGTACGTGCGACCGGTTCAGTTCGAATAAAACCTGCTTTCTCGAGATATCCTAGCAGATAAAATACGCGACGGATGGCTGCCGCGGGGTTTCTCGCAGGCGAACCGCAATCTCCACACGGTACTTTCCCAGATCCATCTCGTGGAACGAACGAGCCCAGAGAGCAGATTCTCTGACGAGGGATTCGTAATCTTTTCTTCTGTACCGCTGAGACTTCGAGGATGCACTATTATCACGATTACTCAATCAACCGGTCGAACCGTGACCCTGACGCAAAGTTGTGCCAGTTATCACAAGCGGACTCCCAATTCGAAGAGGCGTCGGGAATGGAATCTATGGAATCGTCGGAGATGAATTCTCCTTGCATAGATAGAATGAAGGAGAAAGGAAGTCTTGGGAGACGGGCCATTGCCATGGATTGCAATCCGAAGGAGAAATTCCTTCGGAAGAGGAGAAACAGCGAAAGGGCGCTTGGAATGATGCAGCCATTCATTAAAGATGGATGAGGGCATCTCTCGATCCCAATGCTTATTTACATGATAGTTGAACTGAATGCATTCGTGATGCTCTCCAGGCGGGCACGGTGCGGCGCTCTGCGCTGATGTGTTGACCTCTCCATTCCGAATAGCTCGACTGGGCAGCGCGAATTCGATTCTGGATGGGGGTTATGCGGAGGGAAAAAAAACTGAAACTCACGAAATGTCGATATCCACGATAGCGGTTTCGGTCGCGAGGACCAGGGCGAAGCCCCGGTACTCGGATTCCCGATAAACTGTCGGTGAGAGAGGCCTCCTGATCTACTCGAGTTTTGGTCATTGGTGCCTGTGATCATTGAAGTTCCAGATTGGCTACAGCCGGCCGCCACTTTTCTTCCAGGAAATAATTTTCCTGCGAAGCTGGAGCTCACCGTCCGTATAAGATACACGAACGTACCCATGCATCCAACCTCCATGAAATTAAACAATATTTTGGTTTCACCTCCTCGCAACATAGGCTATTCTGGAGGTATCGAGCTTCCGGGAGTGTCCTCGTTCGACCCGATAGAGTTGAGTATCCTGTTTTGAATCACGTAGTGGACCTATTCTATAGGTCCGTTTGAGCGCTAATGTTCCCTCAGAGAGCGGATACGAGCATCTCGGTGCCCATCCGAGCCACCTGCGCTCGGATTTTGGAAGGAAAACTGAGATCCTCCTGAAGAAACCATGTGGGTTCATGCGCAGCTTCCGCGACGCCATAATCCCCGGGTCCGAAGAGAATTCCGGACTCCGTTTCGAAAATCTTATCGGAAGCTTGAGGATCCCCCTAGTGATGTTACTCCAGGAGTGAGCTGCCGTCCAGATGGTTTGCCCTCTGGCCTGCTCATTTCCAGAGTTCAAAAGAACAGGCACAAGGCAGCTTCGTCATTTCTTTGCTCATGAAACAGGAAGGGTTCGGGTGGCTCATGACGCCCTTTTGCTCCATGGGAGCCTTACGTCATTCAACCCTCTTTTCGATCAGACTTCAGGCAAGCAGTCCTCTGAAGAGAGTCCCAGATGATGAACAACACTCTCGAGTCTCAAGTCATGTTTCGCATCGACATCTTCGCCCTTGTGCAGGCTGAATACCTACTGAGATTCAGGAGCAGTTCTTATGATCTATGGGCAATCTAGGTGCTCCCCGCTTTGAGTTAGGAAACTCGCATTCAATATGCTTGTACGCTGCCGAGGTCGATGCCGATCCGAGGCGACATTCACCAAGGGGTAAAGCATGCGATATGTCCTTATCGGAGACATGTACCGACTTGTAACGATGAAGATAAGAGACGATGAGCGGCGGATGACCATTATCCATCGCTTCTCAATCATATGAATCTTAGCGTCGTCAATCAGGATGACGCGGCCCACATTCTGCTCGACGAGAAATGTAATGTGGGCCTGAATCGTCATTGGGACCGAGATCTTCCCAGAAGGTTTACCTTTCTTCGGAATGATGGCTGCGCCCTGCTCCCGCCCCGGGTTCCGGAGATTCGCTGTCTGTTCTCTAGCCTCTCCGTGAGACATGCACGGGACCGCACGGATTCCGAGATGCGTAGCATAATATGAGCACTAAGCGGGTGCTACCCTCGTTGAAACTTCGTAGACCTTCCCTCCAGACGGCTCCGACAAGCCTCCGCGAGCTCTTTGGGCTTCAACATAGGGCCCTAAATTAAGGCATTCTTGGACACCGGGAAATTCGGCGGGCTAATATCGACAAGGTAAGATTGACTAGACCGAGGCTCTTCTAGTATTGTAGACGTGACTCGCCGATGCAGATCTACCGGGATCATAATACTTCATCCGACGCTTATCATCTCATCCGATCCCATGCGTGTGGAAGGGGACTCTTCCCTCTATTTGGTCTGGCCATGGAAGCTCGGACGATGAGCTTTCAGAGTTTCTTGACCTGGCCCATCTATTGCTGACAACATTGTTCCACTGACTCAATTGACGAAATTCACAAATGGATCGTGAGAGACACTCTGCCGATTTGTCGTGAGCGTGAGTCCGTTCAAGAGTCAGCTGATGAGTCACAGCGTACTATTCCGGCTTCACCCGATCCGTCTCGAGCCCGACAAGAAAAGAAGTCCCTACTCACAGGAAGCGATCTCTTTCTCCTTCAGCTCGCATTAGGGGAGATGCTTCCGTGGCCGTCGCGCGATCCTTCAAAGAGCGCGAATCACTACTTGGAGCCGGAGCATGGACGGTATTCTCAGCGGAGATTTGGCGAGGAGCATTCGATGTGACATCTGTTCCGTCCCCGTTGCGAGTTTCCCCTTCTGGGTTACGGTCATCACTCGACTTGACCTCTCCCTGCCGCTAGATGACCCTGGCGCGATTTTCTGCGGGAAGCTGAACACAATTGAGTCGACGCCACTTACTCGACGTAACACGTTATACAGAAGTACTTTTCTCTTCTGGGATCAAAAACGTCGCTTCACGATTGCGATGAAGAAGACGTTTTCCTGAGACTCAGAACGAGAACATTGTTCGCTAAATGTGATTAAAGTCCAAGTGCGCGAGGATCCACTTCTCTGATCTGGTAAACTTCTGAGAAGTTCATGAGTTCCGCTTTCCAAACGTTGCTGACAAAGCATAACATTCCCTCGAGGAAAAGCCGAGTTTGGGATCTCTCCAGCTCACCGTTCGTCAATCAGGAGTGGGGTTGATTCATCCCGTCCCAACTCGATGAGATGGAACCGTGAACCGCGCAGGGAGAGACGCGTCTGCGCCCGAAAAGAAGTGCATCGACTGTCATCTTCCGCAATTCGGAGTGGGTTCTCGTACTTCGTTGATCTGCAATACAGAGAAGACGTCACATTTTCGCCGCAGACATGGAAGGCTGAATGCGAGCTAACATACGTGGACAAGAGAAGTGAGCATCATTCTAGATTGGAAAGGACCACGCTCGCGACGAGCACGATGCATCCGAGGAGAGCCGGCGCGAGTTTGTGATCGTGAACCCCCACCGATTCATTTACAGGGGGAAGAGAATGCTGGTCATCGATCGCTGAGTTTCCTACCCATTGAACGAAGAACAATGTAATCGGTCATGCGTTGAGCGTTTCGATGACGTCTCCGAAGCTTCCATTCGCTCGAAAGTTTCTCGCTCCGACTTTCTTAGCCGAAGAGCTCTCCCCGATTCCCTATTGTACCGCTGCGTGAATTTGCTGCTGCGCGCAGAGCGCGCGTTCGGTCGGTCGGTCTGCACTCACTGACCACTATTTTGACGTCACCGGTGACCATGTCAAGTGTAGCGGACCTTCGGTGTATTCTTCCGCTGCATCGCATTAGTCCCACCTGGAAGTGAAAAACGTCGCAAAAAATGAAGCGAGGTTACCTCACACTTTGCAGCTTCCACTTCGAGATATGGCGACATCCCGGCCGATGCTGAAGACGACTCAAACTGGACTGACGAAGTGTTGAATTCAAGGTATTTTATGTCAGTCATCATTGTGAATGTGAAAATACA